GGTTTGATGAGTGGTGTATGATGAGTGGTGTATGATGAGTGGTGGTTGAACAGCTGTTGAATGTCCGTAACACGGAAGTTTTGCACACTAAACTTCCTTTGACTACTACTACTACTACTTCTACTTCTACTTCTACTTCTACGACTACCACCACCACCACCACCACGACTACAACTACGACTACGACTACAACTACGACGACGACGACTACTACTGGTACTACTACTGCTACTTCTACCTCTCCTCGTATACTTCTACTTCTACTGTCTATAGGAACCCCCACCTGCCACACTCTAGAAACAAAACCTGAAGGTTCGTGGTCACGCACCCCCCTCCAAGCAAGGGTCTTCTTGTCTCAACCCCTCCCCCTGGAAACAAAGACGTCAAAACTAGACGACGAGTGGCCCGAAAGCATTTTTCACCACGTGTGAAGTTAGAATGTGAGTTGCGTGTTAAGTGAGTAATTGTGTGGGTCTCTGTGTGTGTGTCTATGTGTGTATCTATGTCTGTGCGTGTACAGAGGTGAGGGGGTGTAGACGTCGATGCGCAGATGAAACGGCAGCGCAATGTTGTGGCTCAGGAGCGCCAACCTTGGTGCATTTCTCGCTGTGTCGGCACAACGCTGAAGAGGTCCGCCGCATACAACCAATCATCCCTCTCACCGGCAACACGCCGTCTTGTAGGACACTCTTGTGGGACACTCTTGTGAAACACTCTCGTGGGTCACTCTTGTAGGAAGCTCTTGCGGGGCACTCTTTTGGGACCTCTTGACGCCGCAATGATCCCGCTCACCAGCGACACGCCGCGTTTACGCCAGCATGTTTCGCGCTCCCCAGTGGCACAGCGCCACGCAAACGCACTTCCCACCAAGGCCGTGAAAATCCCCTCCTCATTCACAACGAATCGGGCTTTGCCCATTCGGAAGCAGACGATATGTTTTTTCAATTGCTCGCAAGCTTTCAATCTGTGACGGCCCTCGTCAATGACAGGGATGTTTTCAAAGCTCTTGCGCTTTCGTAGACGATCCAAACCTCCTCTTCGAAGTGAATCCATATTTCACTCGGCAATCAATTTCTTCATCGATCACAAATTTGTTCCAGAGATCAGCCACAAAACGAGCATGTGGGTCCCATCTCCTGAATTTGAACATTGGCTTTGTTCCACGCAAATTCAGCACTCTTACGGAACTCTTGTCGATCAAGGAAGACACCGCAATCCAAAGTTAGCCGATTGAGAACTTCCCAGCAGAGCCTTTTCAAGGTAAGCCTCCATGCCCTTGCCGTCACCACCCTTGCCAATCTCGAAAATCATTTTCGAAGTGCAAACTTTAGGCAGCGTGCAAGAAGCAAAGTTTGACTTGGAACACGGGCTCATTGTTGTGGTACAGGGGTTCCAGGAAAAGATGAAGTTTTTTTCCGATGCGCTGACAAATCGACATCCGGTGGCTCTCCAAGAGATTGCTCAGGTGGAACTCATAGTCGACCATCATGTAGCAGTCCTAGCAAAAGGTAAATGGCAAATTCAACGGATGAAACATTGGAAGGCAAAACGCAGACATTCCAGCTATACAAAGTCACAATATGCAGTCCTGAGACGGATGCTTGGGAGCTTCCTGCCAATGTGAGTCCAGAAAGACATCTGTGAAGGGCACTCCATTGGACCTTGGCAAAGGCAAATTCCATTTGATGAGGAAAAGCTTGGAGAGAGAATGTGCCTTGGACGCGTCCCACTGACACCGAAATGTTGCGAGCATATCGGAGACACGCCTGATCCAAATAGCCTTCCATGCTTTATTGCCTGTCGCCGCCTGGCGCAAATGGTCACTGTTTTCCTTGGCCTGGCGCCCGAAGAAAGGGACGGCGTCAAGGCCGTGCTCCAGTAACACCTCAATGGCCTTGGTGGAAATAGAAGCCCAGCTCCAGGACGGTGGATCACCCTGCTTCTCTTCAAAGTGGTTTGCCAAAGTCCGGAGGAACCCTTCCCTGCACCTGCCCAAGCTCCGGAACGGTACTGGAAGATTTGCTGATTGCGGGCTCGCCAATGTTCCCCGCCCACAAGCATGATCAGCATCAGCTTTTGCTTGTTGGACATCATGTAGTTGGCCGCATTCATGTCAGACAAGAAGTTCATTACCTCGTTTGCGGACCTCCGGAGAGGAATTCGGCAAAGAGGCAAGACTCCACGGAAGGAGTCGGAGAACCCTTGAGCTCAGGGGCGCCTGCCTCCTATGGCCCGGGGAGTCAGGCGGCGCCAGTTGGGCCAACGCGTGAGAGGCACACCCAGAGAGACATCTAGGTCGTTTGCCGAGGAAATGTCGAAGGAGGATTGGACAGAGGAGACATTTTGAGGAGGAGGTGAATCATAGCATTGACTCACTGAACCTTTTGTTTGGAGCATCTGGCCTACAGCACAGTTGGGGGGCAGAACGCATGGTCCCCAATGCCGCGCAGTGTCAGGCGCTGGAATTTGTGAAGAATGCATGTCGGAGGGTGGGCAAGCCGCCTGCCACTCCGGGCTCAGAGGCCCTTGAGGAGCTTCGAGTCGCCGAGGGTTATGAGGACTTGCCAACCTCATCACCCTTAGGATCCTTCAACCCTGACTTGGTCATTGCCGACTGCGGAGATGAACCCGATTCCGCTGTCGCATCTTTGGGACCCGGGCGGGCGACAAGAGGTGGAGGATTTCTCACACACTCAAACATTGAGCGCAACAGAGGCCGAGCAGAGACTGCTTGACAGTGGAGTGGAGAAATGTTATGAGGACCCTCAATTTCGTGATCCCCACAGATATGCAGAGTTCGTCAAAAGGTTGATTACGTTGAAGCTTGTTGATGTGAGTTTACAACCTGCAGTTGAGAGGGTTGGCATCTTTTTTGTGAAGAAGAAGGGAGGAAAGCTGCGGATGATTCTGGACTGTTGACGAAGCAATTGTCATTTTGCAGACCCCAGGCCGATCAAACTGGCTACTGGGAGGCGATGGCAAGAATAGAATTGGAGCCCAATCAGCAGCTGTATACCGCCAGTGCGGATTTGCAGAACGCCTTTTACACCATGGAGATGCCTCTGCAGTTGAGGCCCTATACTTTGGTTTGAGGAGGATTCGAGCTGGAGATTTGGGCATCTCGGAGGCGCATGGAGAACCAGTTAAGGCAGACCAATGGCTCCATCCTACGGTGGCCGTCATACCGATGGGATGGTCTCATGCAATGTGGTGGTGCCAAAGGATCAGGGAGAGAATCTGCACAAGAGCGGGGCTGACAGACGCAGAGCGGCTCAGAGATGGTGAGAGGGCCCCCTCCGGAAACTTCTTTCACGTACAATATGTTGACAACTTGCATGTGTTTGGGACTGACAAGCAACAAGTCGAACAACGATTTTGGAAAGCAGTGCAAGCACTGAGGCAGGTTGGACTCACAGTTCACGAGATAGAGTTTGACGAGTCAGACATGTCGGTCCTGGGCTGGTCAATAGCTAGCAGTGTGGTCTTGTCCCCTACCTTGAAGAGGCTATGGAGATTGAGACCAGGCGTTCGAGAGCTGATAAGACGAGGCTCCGCGACTGGCCAGCAGCTGGAGCGCATTGTGAGACACATCACCTTTGTCTCACTATGTCGGCGAGAAAGCCTTGCAGCGTTGGGGGAGGTGTACACCTTCATCCAGAGGCACTACCAACACGGTTGCCGCTGTGGAAAAGTGTGAAGCGAGAGTTGCGGCTATGGGACGGCATTGCGCCGCTCATCTTTGTTGACGTGGCCAAACCCTGGGAGAGCACTCTGTATTCGGTTGATGCATCCAACTGAGGGTCCAGGGTCTGGCTGTTTCATATCGTTTCTTCCAAGAAATCCTTCCGGAACCAGCTAACCTGACCCTGAACCAGGGTCTGAACATGGTTCAACCGTCTCTAAATGAATCAAGATGGACACATGGTCATGGTCATCCACTAAGAAATCCATACTGCCTTGGCGGAAACTGCCGGTTCGAGTGAGCGGAGGTCTAGACCTTGTTTGCACATAAACGAGGTGCCCCTAAACATCCCTAACATTCCCAAAAACCTTTGCAGGCCACAAGAAATTCCTAAACATTCCTAATACTTTTGCAGGCCACAAGAACATTCAAAAAAGCAAACAATATCTAGCCGCTACCTCAAACATGTTCTTCATGGTTCCCGCTTTTGGGGCAAACGCAGTGACTCAGACTTCCTGCAGTCAGCGCTGTTGGTAGGCGTAGGCCGTGGTTGGTGGAAAAGATGTCTTGCACACTTCTCCAATTGGACATCCAATACTGGCCAATGGTAGCTCTGCAGCAGGGACTCTTTTGTGTTATTCAACAAAAGAAAGACAAGACTGATACTCCTTGGCACGCAGCCGCCATGGGGCAAAGCTGCTGCTTTGGAAGGGAGAAGGAGAAACTTCATCATTGGGCGATGTTCATGGATTTCCTGCACCAAATATAGCAGTGAATTACACATCATCACGATCAAAACCGCAACCATAGGAGTTACAGGAGCAGAATACTACCAGGCCATCTTTCCTCATGAAACAAAAACATCTGAAGACGGAACTGCTGACCGATGTCATCCAAGCTGAACTATGTTGAAGTTTCTTCATCGTTCCCTTGCGCCACCGCTTTGAGGAAGAGATACCCGATGTGATGCTGGCCAGTTGCAAGAAACCACAGTAAGACTTGTGCAAACACTTAGGGCAATTTGCTGGACAAGTTCTGTTTGCGGAAAAGACTATCAAACGACGGACAAACGGCCTCACAAACCTTCAAGTTTCTTTTAGCGCAACACCAGCCTCCAGGGCAAGTATTTGTGCGTCGTTGATTGGCGCAATCCTCCGCCTTTTTGAAACCAATCTGTGACCTAATAACGAAGTAACGTAGTAGTACTTAGTTTCAACTAGTTTTAGCTCCAACTCCCCCAGACTGCTCTTCATTTTCCACGCTCTACAATCGTCTACCTCAGACTTCGTTAGTACACACCAGGTTCAAGCCGTCTGCAATGGTGGCGCTTTGACCGCAGATGCCACCGATTGCCAGCCGGGGTCCTTGTCCCCTTGGACTCTAGCAGTTCTGAGAGAGTGGAGCTACACGCAAATAGCCAAAAGTGCGGTCTCAGAATTGTGAAATTTTCAATCCTCGGAGAAGAAGAGATTCAAAAACGCGGATGATGATGATGATAATGATGATGGTGATGATGAAGATGATGATAAGGGCCGCGAGTGGTTCAAACGGGCCGTTCCCCACCATGGCGTGGTGATCCTCCACCTCCTGTTCCTGCGCTCCAGACTCAGCTCACCTTCCTGCTGAACGGCGGCCGCGGCTTGCGGCAGCTGATTGCTGTGCTCTTGGTCTCGGCGGCTGCTCGCTGCTGCCTGGATTGGAGCATCTTGGTGTGGCAGGTGGGGAACGCGTTGACGTACCTAATCGATCCTTCACGTTCCTGACATCGATTCAGGAGGCCACGAATCAGATCCCCTGGAACTGGTTCTTTGTTTATGACCACTCTTCTGGGTCCCAAATCCCAGAGCAGCAGGAGCTATTGTTTCTTGGTTGGCAGTACCTTGCTTTGGTTTTGCACCTACATGTCCACCTTTCCGTTCAACACACAAGCTACTTGCTGGCGGCCCGAGGGTTCCACCTTAGCCATCAAAGGTGGTGAAGTCCCCAAGAAAGAACATTTATCCAGCTGCAAAAGTTGGACGAAGGCAGATGGCAACGATCCTCCTCAGTTTCCGGCACTTCATAAGAACGACAAAAACCAGGTGCCCAGGAAGAAGGCCTACATCAAGGCCTTGAAAAGAGCCACTCTCCATGGAGTTACATGGTATCGTGGCCAATACATGACCGCTTCACAGCTTGGTATCCACACTCAAGAGCTGCTTCCCAAGACGACCAATCTCCCTCAACCTCCTGGCCACTATAACAAACGTCCATCCGGAAAGTTTCGACAATGTCGGATGTCGTTCTTCTCGTCGAACATTGGACAGCTCAGCTTGGCCAAATGGGATTTGTTTAGGGCATGGTTACATCAACAGCCAGTTGACTGCGCCTGCCTCCAGGATACAGGCTGGAACTTCACCGGCGAATGGCAAGACTCGACCTATGCCTATTTGCACTCAGGTGCCACCAAACATCGTGGTGGTTTGCTGACGATGGTCCGCTTGGGTTTTTGTCAGGTTGACAATATTGCATGGACCACCCCTCTGGAAAGTCGAATACAACACCTTCGTCTTTACATGCACACATACAGCCTGGACATCTTGAACCTGTATCAACACACCTGGAACCCTGCGGACCCAGACAGTGGACCATGCCGTGCACAATTCTGGACCTCCATGCGTAACACCCTAAAGGCCCTACCTAGACGCAATGGCTGGATTTTTTGGGGTGATTTGAACACCAGCCTTCAACATCAAACTCATTGCGTTGGTCTTAGTGACTTTGCCACTTTGAAAGGTAGAAGTCGCGGCGCCAAGCACGCAGATGTACGCGTGCTGCACCAGCTTCTGACTGACTTCTCCCTCATGGCCCTGAACACATGGAAACTGGAGTTGGGGGCAACTTACAAAGGACCACGGCAAGTTGCTTCACGGATTGACTTTGTCCTGGTTCAACAAAGAGATGGTGACCCCAAAGCTAAACAGGTGTGCTACCTGCAGAACCTCCCGCAGATGATGGGACTCCACGAGCATCACTTCCCACTGTTATGTGGTATTCCATGGAGACGCTGCTACACTCCTACCTACAACACTGAAGATTGGCAACATTTTGTTCAACATCTTCAACAAGATCTCCCTGAACAACTGTCTCTATCACCGGATTTGGACAAGCTCAACTCCACCCTGATCAATGCATGCCAGACTTTCCGTCCTACCTTCCGTCCCACTCAGGATGGCTGGAACGCCAAATGGCTTTGGGCATTGGAAGCAACCACGGCTCCCACCTGGCGTCCTTCCTGCACCTCCATGATGCTGGACATTTTTCAGGGGTGGAAATGGGTGCTCGACCGAACGAGATGGAGGAAACAAACCAGGAAACGAGCTATCGAACATCGTCGTGGCCGGGTCCAACAAATCATCAACCATGCTACATATCACTGGGCTAGCAACAGGACTCGCCACTACTTCAAAATGATCTTCAAGCTGACTCCTTCCTAAAACCTTTCAACAGAGGCCTCATTTGCGTGGATCTCAAGGAGAACTTCTTTCCCCTGTTGAGGAATTGCCGGTTTTGGAATCGTATATGAAGGAACTTTACAATGAGGAGCCTCCTGTTTTGCCTGGTTTTACTTTGGAGCATTCCCCAGTGACAGCGGATGAATTGGAGTATGATGAATTGGCCCACCTGGAAGGACGCAAAGCTGTTCCTGGCCATATTGCGCCCAGTTTCGTTGGGAAAGCGCTTTCAGAACCCATCAGTGCTCTGCTGGAAGGATGGTGCAGCAGCTGGTTCCGCATTGGGCACCTGCCGGAAGAGTGGCGCAGCGGCTGGATTGTTTTCCTGACCAACCCAACAAGGTGCCAAATCAGCCAAGCGCCCTTCGTCCAATAGCACTTCAGACACCGCTTGCCAAGAGTATCATATCACTTTTTTGTCACTGCAACTCGCCCACATGCATTGCCATTGCTGAGAACTTTTCCACAATTTGCATACCTACCAGGACGTGGTACATGGGATGCAATCTGTCGCGTTTTTCAACATGTTCAGGACGTGGCGTCCATGGCAGATCGGTGGCGCTACAATGCAAGCCGACTTGACCTGAATGTGGCTGGCCAAAAACCTTTGCTGTACGGAGGGTGCCAACTGTTCTTGGATCTCGCCCAAGCTTTTGATCATATGCCCAGAACTTCCCTACAGCCGGCATATTCTTCTGAATGTTCCATCTCATGTGGCCAATGTTCTTTTGCAGTGGCGTGTTGACACCAAATACATCCTCATGTACAAAGGGCAAACCTGCACAGTACCCACCTTCAAAGGCGTGAGACAAGGATGTCGTGGTGCACCCTTCTTCTGGGCCTCATTCGTGGCTCTGATTCTCAATGAGGTAGCGCAGCTCACCTCTGACGAGTGGATGCACTCTTCCTGCACTTTTTATGCTGACGATGGTCATCTTTGTTTTTAAGTTCACAAGCCTTGCAGAGTTCCAATTTGGGCTACAATGCATGGGAACAGTACTTGACACCTTGTCAAAATTTGGGATGACCGTCAATCTTGCAAAATCTGCAGTGTTACTTGACCTGAAAGGCAAGCAGAAAACGAAGGTGCAACTACCATATCTTCGTCGCCGGTTGAACCAACAGGTCCTCCAGATTGCTGGCTCACACTCCACCTATCACATACCTCTCAAGGCCTCTCATGACTGTTTGGGTGTGAAGATCAGCTACTCTCAGACCCACACGCTGACTATGAAGCATCGTTTACATGCAGGGGAACCGCATCACGTCCCGGCATGAACTGCACCAAGGCTCCGCCTCTGATCTTGCAACAGCACGGCCGCTGGCTGCTTGATATCTATGATGCTGGAGACCTGCAGCTGCTGAAAGAGGATGGCAACCTTTGCACCTTCCTCACCCACAGATGTGTACTTTGTGGCTGGTCAGGAACACCAGGAAGCATCCTCTCTCATCAACCAGGTTTTGCCCAATACCACAAGGGCCAGGGTCCAATCTCCTTGCGAGTTTTGCAAGAAAGATTTCGAATCGAAGACTCACACTTGTGCAGTCATGAAACAACTTGGTCTGGCATTGGGAGACCGTCAATACCGTCAAGCTCTCCCGGAAGCATCAGACACTCCGCTTCCTGATGAACACCGAACTCAAGCCCAATATCAATGCGCCGCCTGTGGGTGTCAGTTTGCCACGGCAGCAGGACTTCATCAGCACTTGAGCCTGCAACGCCCTCACACCACGGTCCAGAACACCTTTCAACCTCTCCGTGATCCTGGAAAAATTAAATGTAGCCATTAAGTGACACCTCCTTCACGACCTTGAAGGCCCTGAAGCTCCACATTGCAGGCAATCAATGTGAGACCTTCATTCAGGTACCGTTCCTCTGGCATCATCCACTGATCTTGGCTGGACTCAGTGGTGTCATTTGACTGGGTACAAAAGCCTGGTTCGTCGACTCGGTCTTCGATGTGGTATTTGTGGACACCTTTCACAAAGTTCTACCTCCCTGTTCCGACATTTGGGCAACGAGCATGGGGACCGCTGGACTGAATTGACCAAATACGCAGAGTGGCCTCAAAACCACGCAGCCTTGGCTAAGCTGGGATGCACATGTACCAGACCTCCTGGTGGACCTCATGCGTGTACACTTTTCTCTCACCTGGCCTTGTTTGTACATCATGATCTGCGCAAGTTCCGGTATTCAGACGCTGATACCATCCTCACTCAGGCATTGAAGCTTGATCTGACCGTTCTATGCCCTTCACTGCACCTCCTGTATCCGGAGCTGGACGACTGAAGCATTCCAGACCTGTGTGCTGCTCTCGGTCAATGCTGTGCACTGTGTGGTCGATCCGTGGGGGCTCATGAGGTGCATCTCCATCTTCGACGTCAACATCCCCGGGATTGTACACGAGGGGCACTGTTCTATAGATATCTGTTGGACATGACACCTCATTCACACCAATGCTCAGTTTGCAACCTGCATCTCACTGCAGCCCATGAGCGCCCGATCTTGCTTCAGATAGCCGGTTTGCTTTGTCGCCTTCATCATGGACATCGAGGACCAGGACCGCCATCAGGTCCAACAAAACTGGGGAGTACTCAAGTCCCTGGCGTCCACCACGGACGAGTCCGCCCGCCAACCAAAGGCAAGGGAAAAGGCAAAGCCCGTCGATCACACCAGCAGAACCAACAACCAGAAAATCTTCGGCGCATCATCCAGACCTTGGCTCGTCTATCACTCCGTCACGAAGATGCTCTGAGAGGCCTAGCCGTGGAACAGGACTATATGCTTTTTTTGACTAGCCGTGGAACAGGACTATATGCTTTTTTTGAGCCTCGGCCCAGGGAGCATCATGATGAAGATGATGCAGGCCACGGAAGAGTGGCACCTCACCGAGCCCAAGGACCGCGCCATGCCATTGCGGATCAAAGTGCTTCGAGTCCTGCTGGAGGAACTGCTATCGAGAGTCAGGAAAGTATACAGAGCGCTCGACCAGAAGACGACTTGGTCCAGACTTTGATCAAGTTTCACTATGTCACCACAGTCGACATCGTCACTCCACCGAGATGCACTCGATCTGGCAGGAACTGACGCACTCCGGAGCATGGCAACTAGTGCTGGCCAGAATGCGACAGGCCACGTTACAGAGGACTCCACTGGCTTCACACCTGAACCGTCTACTCTTACTCGAGGACATGCGATCACAGATGATGGCATGCGTCTCAGGGGGTTGTGCAATCCCCAAAACTGCTGCTACGTGAACGCAACAGTCCAAGGATTGCTATGGGGCGCCATCCAGGTTGGAGCCTTGCAGGCTAGTCAATGGGAAATCCTACCAGAGATCTTTCACCAGCTGCTCACACCTTCACCTGCTGAGCCGCTGCTTTTGTGGTCAAATGGACCATGGCTGACTCTCTTACAAATTTGGGCGAAGACTCTGCGGAACTGCTGTTTGCTATGGCTGAATAGCCGCAATGGAGGCGCCATGACTGTGGACTCGGAAGCCACTCCTTCAGCCACCGGCTCTTTGGCGCTCTTGACCAAAGACCAGATGATGGAGCACCTGAAGCACGCCTTCTCTCCTGGCGAACCATGGCAGGATGCTTGGCTTTCGTCGATCGATAGCTTAGATGTAGGTTTTCTTTTGGAGTGGCCTGACGTTTGCCGCTACTTGGCCCACCGAGTTTGCTGGACTGCTGGACCACCTCTGCTTGCACCATGCGGAATGGACTGCAGCTGCAGAGCCGCTGACTGAGGAAATGACGCAGCAATTCACGATGAGGGCCAAACCCGGCCGCATTTGCTCATGTCACCCGTATCACGTTCGGCAGGAGCCGATTGATGAGCATGTTTGTCCGCGCATGCTCAATTTTGGTATGCTCAATAGGTTTCTTCGAGCGGCGCAGGCAGCCAGGGCAAAGGAAAGCAGTTTCCAACTTGCGCTGCAGCTCGAGCGATCGTTCAACTGACCCTACGGGGAAGTGCTGGCCCGGTTCACCAAGGGGTCAACGCCACCTCATCGACCTGAGGGCGTAGAGAAAGACAGAAAGAATGATGATGGTGATGATGATGATGATGTCGTTTGGCCCCTGTGTTTGGGACCTTGCCTAGGCCCTTGCCTCGGTCCTCAGATCGACCAAAGCACTGTTTTCGCAGAACAGACATGGCATCCTCACATGGGTTTCCAACTCTGCAACTGCTTGGCGCTGCACACCAAGCTGTTTGACCCTCCACCTCCCATCTGGCGGGGTGAGATTTTCAGGGGCTTGCCACGCGAAGTGGGCAACAGCACCGCGGTGACGCTCAACGATGTGAGCAAGAATGTGAGCATTACTCAGGACGGTCACTCGGGGCGGCGATGTTCGGTGAGCCACCGTGCGCGCGCACGGTCGTTCGTGCACACAGAGGGATGTGAAAGCAAAAGCGTGGCCGGTTGACTGAGTGTCATGTGAACACCAGACCCAGTGACCCTGGCTTGGTACTTTGGATTATCTTCAAACATGTGACTGGGAGGCATGCTGTTTTGTGAATGATTTACAGATATTTAGGAAGTTACTAGGATAGTATATACCCGTTCAACCACCGCACGCAGCAATTTGGGTGTCGCGACCAACCAAATCGAACATCGCAAGCCTAAACCTGTTTGCGCCGCGCCCGAAACAGTTGCGGTTCGGCCTCTTCGCATCGCGCGCGCGCGACACCTTCGCGTGCCAGAACTTGCCGCGCGACACCTCTGAGATGGCGCAGTGTGCAGATGTGAACCCCGACTATGTCGGGGGGCCAAGGGCACCGTTTGGACGGTGCGACAAGGGAGACCCGCCTGTTTTGGGGATGTTGTGGCCTGAGTCGGACTCCAGGGATTTTGAGCATATCAACAGAGATCTGAGTTAATAGGATCTGATCTTAACATAGATCTGAGGGATCTAAATGAATGCTGTATTTCAAGGCTTACGCCTAACAGCCGGGCACCGGCCCACTTGGGTCTGTGGGGCGTATGTCACGCCTATGTTGGCCTTGGTGGGGCCTATATTGAGCAAAGTTAAGCTATCTGGCGCGCATTCTGGCCCTAGGTTGGGCCAAGTTGGGCCCATGTGGTCTATGTTGGGCACATCTTGGGCCCATGTTGAGCCTATGTTGGGCCTATGTTGGCCTATGGTAGGCCTACGTTGGCCTATGTTGGCCTAGGTTGGGCCTATGTTGGGCCTATGTCGGCGTATGTTGGCCCCACGTTGGCCTATGTTGGCCCTATGTTGAGCCATCTTGGGGGCTATGCTGGGCATATGTTGGGGATATGTTGGCTATCTTGGGCCTATGTTGGGGATATGTGAGGCAATTTATGTTGAAAAAATCTTGCGAGACATTTTTTGACGATTTTTCCTTCCCGCAAATCAAAAACCATGGAAAAACCTACGTTTTTTGACATCGCCAAGATGAAATTCTCGGCCGCCGAGGGGCGCAAAACCCTGTAAAACACAGTGTTTTTTATGCCTCACACACACTTCGACATTGGTTTTCAGTTAGCTCAATTTCCAGGAACAATGGTGATGGAACGGAAAGGTGGCGAAGTCCTGGAAAAAGTATTGTTCAACATTGTTTGCATGTGGCTGAAGAAAAACGCGCGGCTGCTGAATGCGGCTGTCGAAAACGTGTCTGAAGAACGAAGGTTTCGAGGAGGTATCATGGAACCACCATGGAAGCAAACGAGAGAGATTGGAACAGCGTGGGCAAAAGTTCAAACCTGTTGCAGGTACGTGAACCTGGCGTCCCAGGCTGCACTGTAATTAGTCTCGGCTAAGTAATCAGTAATCCTAGAGGGCTAGGTATTCAAACACACACACGTACACACACACACATGGACATACACCCCCTCCCTGCCCCCCCTTTTTCGTTCTTGCGCTTTACGTCGTTTGTTGCGCTTTCTCTCAGGTCGTTTCCCTACCCCAGTCAAGGGCTAAGTATTCACTTTTCTTTTTTCTACACCTATGTTTGGAGAGGATATGAGCCTGGGACGCCAGGTTCACGTACCTGCAACAGGTTTGAACTTTTGCCCACGCTGTTCCAATCTCTCTCGTTTGCTTCCATGGTGGTTCCATGATACCTCCCCGAAACCTTCGTTCTTCAGACACGTTTTCGACAGCCGCATTCAGCAGCCGCGCGTTTTTCTGCAGCCACATGCAAACAATGTTGAATAGTACTTTTTCCTGGACTTCGCCACCTTTCCGTTCCATCACCATTTTTCCTGGAAATTGAACTAACTGAAAACCAATGTCGAAGTGTGAGCCGCTCAGCCGTCCCACGTGGGTGCTGGGCGTGATCCTCCGCAAGGAGGCCCCGTTTACATACCGGAAATTGAGCCACTGAATCATCGTTTTTCATTGACTTCCTCATCGATCTTTCTCTACCCTGAATTCACTGCTCATACAGCCGTCGGGCTATAAAACGAATTTGCCAGCCGCCGGGCTTAAAAACGGCTTTTTTCCTCCCTCCTCTTCCTCCCCCCCCCCCCCCTTGAGGCAGGTCTCCCGACCCCCCCCCGCCGCGTTCTACTCCCTACCTAATCAGGGTAACGTAGGGAAATGGTACTCGACGCACTTGTGTGTCGGCGCCTTTCCCTCTGTTGTCCCTTTTCTAGTCGGCATTGCGTTGAGGTTGGGTCGTTGAGCTGGCTTCAAGTTGTGAATGGCTAAGCCATTCAATGTCAGAGCAATGCTGGCCATGGAATGAAAAAGATGCAGCGAGTCATATTAGCGAGGCACGAGATTGAAATAGCGAATATCGTTGATCGAATGGCCAGCAATGCTGGCCATGGAATGAAAAAGATGCAGCGAGTCATATATATATATATACACGCCTTTTCAACCATAAAAATAGAGCCTTTTTCTGGACAGGCAGCTGCAGATGGTTCTTTGGAGAGGACTCTACAGCAGGCCACTGCCGTGCCAACACGCGGAAGCTCGGAGGTGATCTCTTCCAAGCATCCTGCAACACCAGCCCCAGCTCCCAAGCCGCAGCCAAAAGCAAGACCAGCAGATGAGCAGGCGAAGCAAGCCCAGGCGGCAGCGCGGAAGAGGATCGCGGCGCAGTTCAAGACTCTGGCGGATGCGGACAAAACCGCAGACCCTTCCAGCATCTCGGCAAGAGATGTGTCCGGGGGGACTGACTAACGACGTTGACATGAAACATAACATTGATTGTGCTAGGGAAAGGCTTTGTTGGGTTGGGGATTTGGATTTGGAAGCGGCGTCAGGCACTCACCATTTGACGCACCCAGCAGTGCTCAACTCATCAACGCATGACGAATTAATTAAGAGCATTTAGGAACCAAGTGCGAAAGCCCAAAACGAACAAAATGTTGGACCATGTTTGCAGAGGGTCTTAAGCCGTCGCCGTTCCAGTCCGCCCCGCGGCTCAGGCGCGGTGCCCAAGTGGCGGAAAGGCGGCGCGGTATCGGACAGCACGGCGGGCGGCGGAAAGGACCAGTCGCCCGGTCGCCGGGGGACAGGGTGTTTGGCGTTTCTCGGACTGTTCGGTGATGTTTGGATCGTAGGAACGCGTAAACAGTGAAAAGTCACATGGATTCCACATGGATCCATATGGGTTGATGGACCGTGCCTATATGTTACCAGCTTTGTCCAGCAGATGGGCCTCTTAGAAGTTGGCTGGAACCCGCATCATGGCCCTATCCCTAGAGCCTTCGACAGGGAGACACCAAGCCCCCCAAAACCGGTGGATTTAAGAGATACACGCCTAGACTCGACCCTCGGTCATGTTCAGGCAGGTTGCATACAGCTCCATTTAGCATTTGTAGCAGCCCCACCCAGCCCTCATGTGCCGGGCCACCAGCGCAGGATTTTGCGGGTGATTTCCGGACGATGCCGGCTGCGGCGTGGGAGTGTCTCTATGCTGGCTTTCAGTCGGTGCCGACACAGGCCTGCCTTGGATGCCTGAAGATGTTACATATTGTTGCACCATGTTACATTGATCGTCTTGTTGTGAATATGTGTAAATGATTGGTTGTCCCTCAGCACACTTCGGTATCAGCTCCCTAAAGATATTTACTGTATTGCTTTGCAAACATGCAATGCTGTTGATGAGATCCTTGAAAGACATACGGAAACATCATCATTTGCACCCACACCATAGAAAGACATACAGACAGAGACTGATACACACACAGACATAGATACACACACTTATGGATATGCATACGGAATTGAAAGCGGTGCCACACGCCGGCCTAGGGTTCCATTTCCTAAGGATACAAGTACGAACCACTGGAACCTGGAGGTCTTCAAGAGGAAAGAGGGCCAAAAGCTCAAGGCGAAAGCGGACCGACGGGTGACGTCGTAGCGTGCATGTCTGCGGAACTCTCTAGCCCTTTACTAAAGTTCAAAAGTTCAAAAGTTCGAGGAAAGCAGGTACGTCTGGCTGATCGGGCCAGATATCCGCATGTGTTGTGGCCGCTTCGTTGGACCATCGCTCACAACACATGGATGGTCCCCCTGCTGAGTAAAACAATTCAAAAGAATCCCTGTGACTACAAGGGGCACACACACACGCCTCCCCGAGGGGAGGCAAGGTTTTAAAGCTCCGCGCCGAAGGTTGGGTGAGACTAGCTGACGAAGTTCGCGGTAATTTTGATAGGCTGTCAGAGGAAGTCGGAGTTGACATATAGCATCATCGTGTAAGCGGGAAGCAACAGTGTGAAGAGGTTGATATGGGAAAGGAGTAGATTCGCGAGGATATTCATTTGCGATCCCCACAGGGCGAATCCGGCGGGAATTGACGTAGTAGAGCACGAGGTCTTCAAGTGTGCAGGTGTGTGGGACCTCCCAAACACGGGAGTCTCCGGTAGAGGGGAGAGGCATCCAAAATGTAGTGCGTTGTTGTCCCAAACGGGAGTAAATCACATCTTGGAGATCGTCGACGGTATATTCCTTGGTTTCAAGCTGGAGGGTGTCCAAGGTCACGGTGATATAGTTGAGGGGCTGATAGACGAGCAAGCTGATGTCGAGTTCAAACCGAACGGTGGAGAGATTGGGTTCTAGATCCAAGGATTCAAAGGGTTGACGAACATCACGCCACGTAGTGGGTATCAGTTGGGTCAAAGGTTCAGGTACTCGAAGTCTGGGGGAAGAAATCATCGCGGAAGGAGGAGGATACGAGTGAGGAGTATATATCCGTGAGGAGCCAACGGCTGCGGAAAGAAAGGGTGGGAAAATGAGATGAAAATCGGGTCGTGTAAAAAAGAAAAACCGAGCAGTTAGTAGGCGAAAGATCTGGAGTGCAGCGAGCTGTTTTCGACTGGGAGCGAGTCCGAATGTACAAGGGAAGCTCGTACGGCCTCAACCTAAGGATCTTGGTGGCGTCCAAGTGATGGTCAATCGTGGGTTCCATCAGAAGGTGGGAAAGGAGGAGCCAAGGTGTGCTGGGAATCTGTGGAGGAAGAATTCAGCGACATAGATCCCGAATCAGGTAGGGGAAGTCCTGTACCACTGGCGACCGGGTCGATCGAGAAGAACGGTCAGGAGCAGGAGCGGGATCATCTTGGCGGAGTGCTTGCTGGAGTTCGTCCTGATACGTAGTGAGGGTGTGTACGACCCCGTCAATAAGTTGATGTTGTTCCGGAGCTGGGAGGCCCCTGAGCATTGGGGTCTGAGAGACGTCCATCTGGGAGAAGTTCTGCAGGAGAGCCTCCAGTTGGTACTGTACATTGAGATGTTCTAAATTGTCGACAGCCTGACGTTTCCGTCCTCTGGGAGGGCTGTCGTAGTGGTATCGGACATGACCGGGTTGTTTTCAGCGGCCAAACGTTCCTCCTCAAGACGAAGTGCGTATTCATAGTTCTCACAGGCCTGAGGCTGGGTGAACATGCATCAAGGAAATAGCCTGAAGCTGATTTGTGGTATTCGATGTCGTCGTGGTTCCAGCGAAGGGTCTGGTGGTGGAACCAGGAGCGATGGAACCAGTGACGAGAAGGACCACATTGGCGGCGTGCCCATTCCTCATAGGGTTTGGCAACAGGAAAGGATCCATGAGCCTGGTTGTGGATCCGCTGAGCGTAGTCAGTGTAATCCTCGTTGTATGGAGTAGGGCGGGATCCAATGCATGCGTATCGATCCAGGTGGTGGACCCGGGGACCAAATTGACCACGGTAGGGCGACCATCAGGTCCCAGCGGTAGAGCGATCAAGCTGGAGATTGCCATTTGTTCTGGAGTCAAAGGACAGTCATCAGTAGGCACTTGAGCCGGAGGAGAACAATCCGAAGGGTCATGAGCGTCATCGTTCGGGGTGTTGGTGTTTTCCATGTCGAGCGGAAGGGAATCGCAACAAGGAAACGAAGATCGTGTGTCTGAACCGAAAGGCTGCGGAGGGAAGAGGAAGAAAGAGAAAGTGAAAAAGGTACAAATTGATTGAGGGAAGGAAACAAGTCGAAATTCAGTGCGGCCATGGTCGTTTTCCAAACGGGAAGCGGAGGTGGTAAGATGAAACCAGAAGATGAATTACTGAATTAAGGCTTAGCCTCAGGTAGTCGAACAGGCATCGATGGGCGGGGAATGAGAAATGGTACCTCCTCTCCGTTGAATTTGACGAGAAATCCCACCACAGGACGGGGTAAAGCCGAGGAAGAAGTGCTCGAGGTCAGCGTGGTCGCGCGTGAAGAGGTTGTGGGGGGAGTCGAACTGTACGGAGAGGTCAACGTTGTCCGCAGTGAAATAGGAGGCTGTGCCGGACGAGCTTTCTTCGGGAAATGGGTAGAAATGAGGACAGGTTCATCAGGGTCCCGAAGATGAGAGGCCACGGAAGGACGAGGTCGTCGAATGCATGTACTGGATGACGTAGGCATGGAGCTCGTCAAAAAAAAGATCGAGTGGAGGGCTGTGAAACCGAAGTTTGAGCCAAGAAACTAGATAACGAAACGAAATGTTAGGGTGGATCCGGAAGTGCAAGAACATCTCAGGAAAACGAAGCGCATACAAGCTCGGAAAAGTGTCGGCGATGTCTTTTATCCGACAACGTAAAGAGAAAAGTTGAGTCCGTGAACTGACGACCGTGAGGGTATGGAGGAGCATCATGAGGTAGCAAGTCGTCGTAGTTCAAGAAGTTCAGCCCAACGAGCGCGGATCTGGGACTGAGGGCGCTGCATTTTGCTGGCAACATAGCGCCAACTGGGTCGAAGTCGTTCATTGCATTTGAGACTGAGAAGGAGGTCATCATCTTTGGCGCTCCAATCATCTTCCCATGAAGTACCAGAGTGGGGGCGTGGAGAGGCGGGGAGGGAGGAAGGAGAGGCGGAAGAAGGCGGAGAGGGTGGACCCCGCTTTCGGGTACGAGAATGGGGGAGCAAGGGTGCGGAGGAGACGAGGAGCAAAGGCAGAGATGAGAAGGGGTAGGGGAGAGGGGGGGGGAAGAGGTGAGGAGGAGAAGATGGGAGGGGACGAGACGTAGAGGGCGAAGGGAAGAGAGGAAGAGGAGAGATGGAGGGGTGAGGGGCAAGTTCCCCCAGAAGTGGCAGTTGGCTAAACTGGACCTGATCGAAACACCAAGCAGTCAAACGTATGCGGTCGGTGTGCGAGCTGCGGCGAAGCACACCTTTTCTATGGCAGCGAATGCAGTATTGGGCTGCTAAGTCTTGAGCCAAATGAATTATGTCGAAAGCGGACTGAAGATCTACAGACTAGTGTATGTACAAGAACAGGTGCTACACAAGTATAGCGTAGACACGCCTAGGGGGACCTAGGACCCTACTAAACACAAAACAGACACAAATTTTCTTCGTGTCGAAGCTTACGATCTCTAAAGTACAAAAGGTTCGCAAAAGGATGCAAATGAATTCGAAAAGTTCTGACTTCGCAGAACTCTACCGTAGATGCCATTCTGGCTCATCTAGGTTGCGTCAGAAAATCTCTACAAATCTACGAAAGGCATACTTGTTGCATCGAACGTTCCGGAATGTCGGAAATCTTCTTTCTCAAGTCAAATCATCAAGTTGAAGTCAAATCTATAAGGCCTTTAGTTTAGATATATCTGGGTCATTTAAACTGCATTTAGCTTTGTGGCAATTACCTGTAGTCGGCCGGAATATCGGCTTTTCAGGACTACTGCCTCGGCTGTGCTCTAGCCGGTATATCGGCTTCCTAGAGCAGAGACTACCTACCAGTCCCTGTAGCCTCGGTAACCGGGATTCCAAGATGACGAAGATGAACCGGTATACCACCATGAGCTTGACGCTCCCGAGGACCAGGGCTGGTGCCAGCCAGCTTGGCGAGCTTGTTTCTTCTGCCGAGATTGTTCTTTCAAACGCTCAAGCCGCTCGGCATTCTTCTCGCCACGTTTCTCGGCGGATTGCTGGCCACGAACTCTGATCTTGTGTCGGCTGGCAAGTGAAAAATTGCACTGAAATGGGTGGTGGTAACCCAAATCGCTGCTCTTCAGACACAGATCAAGGTGATTCAAGTGCTTAAGGAGTTCGTTGACCTTAATGGTAGTCTCCTTTTGGCGTGGAGGCTGCTCATATCCGACACGTCCACGATCATCCGGAATATCGGATGTCCTTGACCGCAACGTATGCATGTCCTTGCCGTAATTTAAGGCGATCTGCAACAGGCAGTCGCAATCGGCGTCCAGACCTTCCAAAGCAGCGAGCTGCTCACTGGCGAGGGTTGAGACCTCCCAGTTATAGGTGATGCGCTTACTCGGCTCGCGCTTCTTGTTCGCAGAAACAAGAATCTGGTCAAGGATGGTTAGGACAGCTCCGGTTCCTGGATCGGCATGTCGATCGCCCCGGAAGTTGCGGTTCGTGAACTGATTAGCATCGCACGCGATGACGTCCACCTGGTCTGCCACGGCCGTGATCAAAATCTTCATGATGGCGTTCTTACCGGCCGTAATACCTGACTGAAAGGCATGGGCATTGATGTGGAAAGC